CACAAAAAACCTAGCCACAATCGAGGCTTCATTTTAGAAGTGATTGTTGCCTACTTCTGCATAGAAGTGTGGCAGAAGAAAGTCTACCATGGTATCCCCTTCAAACCACATTACCAAAAGCCAAGAGCCATTCATTACTTGGCTTTGACTGCTATACTTTGGAGCGTTACTCCGTAGTTTGGGAAATTGTCACAATGAAAGGGCAATAAACTAGATAGAAGTTACGTCTTAGCCTTACAAGCCTGGGCGTGCCATCCAGCACTACAGTTCTGCAGTGTAAACATCTCCAGGCAGTGAGGCACCTTTCAGTCAATGACTGGAGGTTAAGGATGTCCATGAGTTTTAGACATAGGGTTTGTGCCATTTTGTTTCATTCCTCAAAGCAGCTTGTGTGTAAGGTGTTTAATCATGATTATCTAAATTAGAAAAAAATGAGGACTGGGTCTGTGGCTCCATGGGACAGTGCTTTCCTAGCCCTTGTAAAGACTTGGGTTCAAGAAAGAAAGAAAGAGAGAAAGAAAGAAAGAGACAGAGAGAAATAAAGAAAGAAAGAAGGAAAGAAAGAAAGAAAGAAAGAAAGAAAGAAAGAGGGAAAGAAAGAGGGAAAGAAAGGAAGAAAATAAAGGTCACATAGATGATTGTTATGACTGTTCTCCAATATCTTGGAGAGTTAAACAGAGCCTCCTTCCAATGGGATTATCCCAGATGGGCCTATGGATGGTGTACATGCTTTCATGGAAGGGGGAGAAGATCACAACACCCTTCATCTGAGTATTGAGCAACTCCCTCCACCTGTCGTATGCAACCCTGTCCTAATTGCATATGGCCTGGGAAAGAGCGAGAGTGGATAGACCAGGGGAAGACTAGGGGAGGGGAGTGCTCTCTGTTACAGGGACAGCCCCATCCCTGCTAGACAAAGGTCTTCTAGACACAGCTTGCTGCAGGGTAGGAGCACCAATATCCCTGTAAGTAATCTATGCTCTCTAAGGAAGCTCAAGAAACTCATTGGCTCCCCAGAGTGAACTTTGGTGGAATCCTGCCTCAGTTTGTCACTGAACCCTTAGGAGAAGGGATAGATGTTGTTTAAGTCTCCCATGGAAGGAATTTTAGTGGCGTTAGTAAATAGCACCATCAAGGTGCTTGTCCCTATGCCTCACAACAGTGGAGATGAACAGTTCATTTCTTTATGACATCACCACAGAATTAACAGTAGTTACTCAAGACACAATTGGCTGGCACCTAAACTTTCTTTGCTGGATTGTCCTCTCATGGTCCACCTAATGTCAGTCCTGGGATATCCCTGAAGGCCTGTAATCATGCCAGTGCCTCTGTAAACAATTCATTTTTGAGTCCTGCCTTGCTGAGAACTACAGAGGCCCGAAGCTCCAAAGCCTGCTTCCAGTCCATCAGTCCCTGGTGCCCTGGGAAAGAGTATCTTCCTTAATAGATTTTTTAAACTACTTGTATTGGAATATTTTTAAATGAAAGGATATTTCAAAATATAATCCCTGTCCCACTCAAAAATAAATCAGTCTGTAAGACTTGATTATTTTATAGGCAAGGAAAAAGAATTAATTAGTATCATGGATACATTTTCAGCACTATGTATTTATCATTTGTTTGTTAGTTTGATGAATTAAGGACAATTGAGATGAGAGTGATGATATGGACTCTTCCCCATGATCTAAGACATTTTACCATGTGATCCTAGAAATTTCTGTCCTCATGCTGCCCTCTTATATAACATGGTCATCTCTCCCTCCTTTGTATCTGTCTATATGATAGGTATAGGTGACTCTCAGTATTCGTTCCAATGCCAACTATTCCTCTAACCTTAATGGCTCTTCAGCACTTCTATTTCCCCAGCCCCATCCTCTCTCAAATCATGATCTAACCCACTTGTCTGTCTGCTGACTGCCTTCCCTGGCCACAGTGACCACCCTGGTACCACTGATACCAACTCTACTCCCATGTTCTCATTGCCTGTACAATGCTATACGGTTTTGCACCTCAGGATCCTGAGAGGACCCCAAAGTAGGACTTGGAGAGAATTTATCCAAACACTATTCACAGAGGAAACGACAAAGCAGGCTGAAGTGGTCTGAGCAGCTGTTCAGTGGAAACCTTGACTTCATCCGGGTCTGAAGGAGCAAAGCAGTTCCAATAACCCAGGGAGAGTAGAAACACGGGAGAGAGGCGTCTCCCAGGTGACGTGGTCATGTCACAGAACCCAATCCCTAGCAAGCAGCCAGCCCAGGAAGAGGAGACAGGACTGGGTCATGTCCTGTAGTTGTTCCCATTGGCTGAATCCAAGGAGCTAGGATTCCAGTTGAGATATGCATGGAAGTCATGCTGCCAAGACCCTGAGGGAGTGGGTTCAGAAGGGCAACTCACATTTTACAGTTCCCTTCCTCCATCAAATGGCTTAAAATTTGCATTAGCACTTAACTGCCCATTAGCCTGACTTTCCTCTTTCCCCAGACTTATTAAGGGAGGGAGGGTAGGTCTTTCTTTATGTCTCTGAGCACACAGTATCTGGGCTCCTGGGTTGATCACCCATCTTCAACCTCCCTCATATGTAGCCCATAGTAAGAACTCTGTTTTGTTAGTACCTCCCTACTTGGTAAGCCCAAATCCTGACTGATTCAGGGCCATGTTTAATTCTGAAAGTACAAAGTGCATCCCTATTTTATTTCCTGGGCTGAATTAGCAGATATTTGCATAATCATTACCCAACATCATTGAGGCATACCTCTATCTAAGAAAACCAATTAGTAAAGAACAAATTTAAACACAACTAATCTACTTCATGTTGCTTAAAAAGACAGGAGGGAAGAAAAGAAAATCAGCCTGTGTTATGGATTGCATCTCATCTGTGGCCACTTGAATAAGGCAACATAGCACTGAAACACAGCTTCCAAATATGGCTCCCAAAACTCAGCCCAATCAATCATTTTATGACAAAAAAACAAAACAAAAAACAAAAATAAAAATAGCTCAATTAGTATTAAAGCAGACACTATATCCGTTCATTCTTGAGTTCTTAGAAAATAGACTAAAGCACTGAGTCACTGAAAGTGAATCTTTTGGGCAGCAGGGATTTTGTTTGTTCTTTTGTTTGTTTTGAGTTGTTATCTTTTTTCGAGACAGGGTTTCTTTGTGTATCCCTGATTGTCCTAGAACACTCTGTAGACTAGGCTAGTCTCAAATTCAGAGATCCACCTGCCTCTGTCTCCCAAGTGCTGGGATTAAAGGTGTGCGTCACAACTGCCCAGCTCTGAAAGTGAGTCTTGCTTAATGTTTCATCCACTTTTAACTCACTGCGTGTGAGACAGTACTAAATGTATTATTCCAATAAAAGAGAATAAAGAATGGATTTCTCCAGTCTTCCCAGTCCCTGATCTGTGATGAGCAGAGACTGCCTACTCTGTGATGAGCAGAGACTGCCTACTCTGTGATGAACAGAGACTGCCTTTGGGAACCTTCTGCTGAGCCGAAACTCGTGGGCCCTCCCATTCCTTTTTCACTGAAGACAGGAGCAGAGGGACACCCTCTTTGCCCACATGGAAAAATTTCAGGTGACCCTACAACCAACCAAACTGAACAAGGAGCTTTTGCCTCCCATGTAAATTTACTTACAAAAGAGCAATGTTTCTAAAAGTTATCTGCTTGCCTGTTTGCTAATCTTCCACAGCAATGTTTTTTTTCTCTTCCGTCCTTCACCTCAGGAAGGCCCAGGAAAGTTCCAGATCTTATCTACCCTGTCCTCACTGACCTCCCTCCCCATCCCTGAAGAGGCTGGCACAGAGTGAATAGGAGTCTCCCATGCATCTGCTCCAGTGATAGTTTTAGTCAAAAGGCGCATTACCCAACTGATAGAAACCTCTGTGTAAATTACAGAGACTATCATGGCATCAAAGGTGGTGATAATAATAAAATGGCTACTGTGTGGTCTGCTCTGTACTGATTTGGCCTTCAAAATGATCCTATTAGTTTTGTGAGGTAAATAACACTCTTAGTGGAGATATGCCATTTCCCATAAATTTGGGGTGAGATGAGGGTGAAAAACAGGATAAGAACATGCCAATTGCCGGAGTCCAGACTTGTGTGTCTGCCCAGCATGTGTCTATAGCATGAACCCATAGCATGTGTCTATAGCATGTGTCAAGGAGTCACTGGCTGTGATACTTGCATTTCAAAGGAAATTAGTCAGTAGATAAACTCTTCTTTAAAAGTTTCAAAAACTATATGAATTTAGAACTTCGTGATTTTGTCACAGTCAATTGATCTGGAATAACCAAGATGGAATGTGCTACTGCCCCTTCCCAGGCTGATAACTTTCAGCAAATGGTTTGTTACTTTTCTTACCACCACCCCCATCTTCTCCCAACTACCGAGTTGTTATCAGAACCTACTGGGCTCCAAATGGAAGGACAAGTGGAGCTTTAACCCTGGGTTATTAACAAGAACACAAGTGTGTGTGGATTCAGAGAAGGGCGGAAGACCAGAGAGGAGTCTCTCTCGCGTATCAAAGCTTCCACCTCTCCTGGAACATTCTGAAGAGGGTTGTTTCTCTTTGGGACATTAAATGTCTATTTACAGAAAGCACTCCCAGAAAGTACAAAGGCATCATGAGGGTACAATTTCCTCTGTGGCTTTGTCCAGGGATAAGTAAACAGTGAGAATGGAGGGAAATGAAAAGCCCAGAATGCCAGAGATGGTGAGAAGTGGGCCAGATGCATTCAGTTCAATTTTCTTCTTGTTATTAAAGTACACTTACTAAAATGGCAACAGCTTCCATTTTATTTTGTTCCAGCGACATTTTCCCCTTTACTTTCTTTTGAAAACATTATTTGTTGACAGACACAATTCTTCATTCTGCCACTTTTTCTTAATGTTGAAGAAAGCAGTAGAATGAGTAACTTTTTTTAATGTGTCACCATTGAACAGTCAATATTGTGTGAGGAAGATGAGTCTTATTGATAAATAACTCGCAACAATGAGATGAAACACCAAAACTTTATTTGAGATCTGTAAGTTAAAGGTCAAATTACAGAGATAATCACGTTAAATTCACACACAAGCAATTCAAAACAGGAAGCCACAAATTCTATGCTAGACTAAGGCTAAGATTCCAACACAGCAGTACAGGGACAAACACTTCTCTCTCCCCATATGAGGAACACTGTTTCTGCTTGTCCTCAGCCCACTTTACCTGTTGTAAATCAGTCTATCACAGACTTTTCTACCAGAATGTTCATCGTGATGGAAAGAAACATCCAACTCTTTGAATATTCTGGGATATGTTATAAATAACACTCAGTCAGAAAACCACTTTTTATGTGTACTCTACAAATTCAACATTCTGTCCCATGATTGAGATCTCATTTTAATGCAGAATTTTTTTTCTGAAATTAGCTGAGCTAATGATCATGTTCACCTACTGGTTTTCCTACACAACACTGGGAGTAAGTGGGTCTCAATTTGCAAACACAGCTAAGTGGGGAACTACTGGAGTATTTCACATCACTTCTAGTCAACACAACAGATCCAACAGCAAACAAGAAGCAAGGCCACACACAAATAAAAAGTCTGCCCACTACAGTAGGTACACAGTCTACACTTCACTACTACGTTAACTGCTACGAAATCAGTTCCCAGAGGCAATAAACTACTTCAATACGATCCATGAGAACCAAATTAGCAAAGCAAAGTTCTCCAAGAAACCTTCTAGCATTCTATTTGAAAACATTAAGTCTTACTACATATTTCTTTTTATGTTTCCTAAGTTGTCAGCATCTCAAAGTCTTTCTACTTACAGTCTGAAGGCAGCCACTGTTAAAATGCTGGTTCCTTATCTATCATCTAAAAATACTCTAAAATATCAGTCTACGCCACAAAAAGACAAGAAAATCAACTAAGTTCTTTCCTTCACAACCACTTTTGTCCACTTCCCTAAACTTCTTTCTCATCTATATGGGAGCCAGAGTATAGAATGTTTTTCTTAGAGTCTGTGAAGGTACTAAATAGGAAACCATACAAAATAAAACCTATCTAGGTTATTAGGAGAAACTCAAAGGCATTTACTCAAATAGTAGCAGGTCCCTCTATATAACTATCCATGCTGTCTCTTCATGGTTCAAACAAAAAAGAAATCACACACTTCAAGTCAAAAGCACACTTCCGAAAGGTAGGCACTAAATACGAGTCTGCACCTGTACTCTCGCCCCGCCACTTCATACTGCAGTCACCTGCTTGTATGTCTGGATCCTGTGTTAAAGGTATGACCCTGGAGGACAGGAGTCCTGTTTGACTCCTGTGGTCTCCAGTGTCCGGCTCAGTGAGTGTGTTGAAATGTCTATTCCTAGACAATTAAGTGAACTGCCCTCTTCTTCCCATTTCTATCTTGACTCAGAGATCTTGTTCCCATTGCACTCGTGTGCATTTTTCACCAAAATGAGTGGATGACTTTGGTTTGGGGAGGAGGAAGCATTTCTAAAACTAGCAACAGCAATGTCTGCTCGCTGTCATTGGCGGAAGACAGCAAGCTTTAAGAGGCCGCTCACAACACCTGCTACACTGTAAACTAAACAGTCATGTAAACCTAATACTGACAATGTAGAGAATGAGATTGGCTTGTAAGAAAATGTGGGTCCCTTTTCATATGCGATCATATGTGGAAGTTTTACAGAATACATCGGGAACCTAATAAAAGCTGTCACTATACGAGCTATTACTGCTATGTCAGTGTCTGCCTTCTAAAAGCACTCATGTCTTTGAAAATTCCTTAACTTTGCTTACTTGTTTTCCCTTGCCTTGCTACTCTATGGTTAATGCCATGGTGTAAAGTGTTTTGAAATCCATTAAGTGTTATAATCAACCCAAGTACCATTGTATGTATGCAAACTGTCTACCCAGCGAGTCCACTTAAACATCTAGGATTGGGAACTGTTGTCTCCTAAGACTTAATAAATGATTCCCTCTGGCTCCAAAAGCAAGTACTTCTTCAAAGGCAATGGGAGGGACAGCATAGGAATTGCGTTGTGGCATCTGTCATGCAATGCTTTCCGAATGGCACATCTCGCTAAATGCATGAGGGTCCTGGGAGTGTTGCAGCACACCTTGAAGAGAGAGTGGTAAAAATCCCAGTGTTTCTGGAAAGCAAGAGAAGATAGGTTAATTTGAGGAAGGTTCCACAGCTTACATAGATAAAAATCCCACAATGATGCATCAATCTCTACATTACACACAAGAATAGTTTCCTAGAATCTCTGAGAGTGAACAAAACTGAGCACAAAATTAAAATGGGAATGTCAGGAAGTGAGGTATGATAATGCTGGCAAGAGTAGGGGAAACACATTCACAATTCAGGACATGATATAAACTACCATGCCTAACTGACCGGGACATTAAACCAAAATGGCAATTTCAATTTAACTCAATATTATAGCATGTTCTTTATGCATCCGGTAACATCTCCTAGTGGTACCTAGCAAGCAAGTAACTTTAAAAAGTAAAAGAGCTAACAATTAGGAGAATAAGATCATACAACTAAACTATTAGCCTCTGATCTCAGGGGACTTTGTGCCTCGTACCTCTCATGAGACACAACCTTGACTTCTAAAATCAAGACCAGGATGCTCTGTGGGAAGGGCTAGTTTACAGATGAAGCCAAACCACTAAGTTCACAAGTGAAGGCATGGCTCTACTAAGGGCTTTACGTGTGGCTCACTGCAGACTCTGAGATAGTGTTTCCTGCTTAATCATCGTTAAAAGTGAATGAAATGTCTACACAAAACACTGTACTTTCCTGAAAAAAAATCTGAGTGAGCAATGCCATCACTGAATTCATTTAAATTGGTGGAAAATACGACTGCCACCCTTATACATTTACTCAAACTTTTCTCAGAGAAATTCCCCCAAGAGACTCCTTAATATCCCATATTGGACAGGCACCCACGGATAGAGATTTACACTCTTCTACTTGAACTTTATCATCCTTCGTTTCGCTATATTTTAGAAAGTTCTGAATGCATTCTCAAAGCCAATGTTTTAAGTCAGAAGGCTGGGTAGGTGCGGAGGCAGCTCTCAGAAGGCACAGCAGGTGAATGCTTACCTCCAGGTCATCATCAGGGATGGCTCTTCTCCACTTTATGTTCCATCTGATGTGCTCGTAGGCGTTCACCACAACTTCAATCGCTTTGGGACACGAGTGGCAAGCCTGGATCACCTGCAGAGGAGACAGAGGGTGCGGTCACTGAGTCTGTGCTTATGACTGACTCCCGGTTCTCACAAACTAGTAGACGCCGATCATCACGGTTCTAAGGAGGCTGAAGCAGGACCAGGGTCTAAGGTCAACCCGGGATATACAGTGAACCCTGTCCCCCAAATACACCAAAACTAAAGATAGAGTTGAAAAAAAGGTTAAACATAAGATCTGAATTATTCCCATGCCTGAGAGCTGTATGGAGTAGAGTCAGTTCACATCTCATGGAGGTCTTGTATAAAGATCTGTGGCATATGTGTACCACATCCGTGCATGTGTGCGTGTATATGTGTGTGTGTGCATGCGTGTGTATGCAGTAATGCATCACCTCACTGCCAGCTGGCTGAGGTAGAGTGAGAGGAAGGGAAGCTCTTGGCTACCATCAGTGTAGCCTCACATGAAGCCTTCTACACTGTCTATGCTGCACGGAGGAAGACTTGTGTGAGTTCTACACTTGGCACAATTTGGAACACCCATCTTTCTTGCCAAGACTCCTCTCCACGTTGATTCTTCACCCCTGACACACACACAACACACACACACACACACACACACACACACACACAGGCTATCTTCCACAGAAGCCTCTGTGCCCACTTAAGCTCTTCCACCATTTTTTTGATGAACTGAAAAAAGTATGAGCCAGATCCTGAATCATAACCTCCTCACCTTTGACACACTCCGTGTTATGGCATTCAGAGTTTTAGTGGCCCCAAATGTAACATTCCTTTATGAATAAAGAACCAATTAAAATAGGAAAGGGTGACAAGCAATTGGAGATCAGAAAGCCATCTTCACTATGGAAGGCTCATTACATACACTGTTCAACTATCAGCCATGTGGGACTTCTGAATCTCCACTCTGAAATGAATTTTCTGCCCTCTCACTGCAGGTCTTTCTCTAAGAGCTGAGCATGTTTCTGGGGTCTTGCCCCCCTCGACGGACAAAGATCGCACATGTTCTCCCTGTCCAAGATTCAGTGAGCCAACTCAGTCCCCTCCGTCTCTCAGTAGCTGAACAGAATAGCAAAGTGGAAAACAGGCTAGGGGCTGAGGTGGTATTTTACCAGAACTTGCCACATGAGAACATGAGACAACGAACATGAAAGGTGTCTGCTAAACAGCGTGTAATGAAATCCAGCTCTGGTGAGTTAAGGAGCAAGTAGATACTGTACTAATGAGTAGGGTCATGTGCAATAAGTAAGGAGAGGCAGGGTATGTATTGCATTTGTACCTTCCCAGCTATCCCTGTGTAGCATGAAACACTCCACAACAGGGACATCTACACCATAGAAGATAGACTCTAGAAGCCTAACTCTACACATCAATGAGACAATAAATCCATGCCTGGCTAATATTATATAGTGTCTTCACAATCACTCACAGGCGTGCATACATGCACGCATGCTTGCGCACACACACATACACAACAGATTAAAGATGTTGTCCCAACATTTTCAAATGCCACTTATAAGACACTTCAGTAAGAAACTATCTTAAAGCTACCTTGAATCTTATATAGTGCTATATTTTTGTACACACACACACACACACACACACACACACACACAAACCCACTTAGTATCCAGGGAACCTTGAGCAATTGACTTCACACACAGCATTTTTTCAATGACAGAAATCACCCTTACCTCCCCCAAATCCTCACATTATCTTCCCTTTCCCTAGGAAAAAAATGTCTTTCTTGCCCTACAAGAAATCTCGGATTTTGGCTCCCTGGGGTGTCGCTTCCTTTTGAATTATGCTAGAAGAGAAAAAAAATCAAATGTCCTTTCCTAGCCTGGAAAGCAATCGCAGACCCTATCTTTCTCCCCACCCCCCACCATCTCACTTATGTAATTTATGCAGTGCCTCTCAGTGAAATGCACCCTCTCCCCAGCCGCTTTGCATTGGGAAGACGGCATCTGCAGTTGTGACCTTGCGCCTTGTAAATAAGGAAACCGAATTCCCCATCCAGGAGAGAACAAATCACTTTATCTTCTGGATAAATGAGTCAGTCATTTGCCTGCCGTAAAGATGGCTTTCTCTTAGGAGAGTCTGGCTGTGGAGTAGTGTTCTAAATCACTTCCAGGCATCTGCATAGTAAATTGAATAGTTTTTCTTCCACTTCCCCCATTCTCACACACATCTGAGGGGTAGCGAGCAATGAAACTGTTGACAATAGCATCCAGGCAGCAATAGTCAAGTCTATGTTAAATCTCCTCAGCAATCAGCCAGACCACAGGAAGCTTCAGGAGCAAACAAAACCAAGTAGGAAACATTGACATGCAGCCAGTGTTCGCTGGGACACAAGACTGTGTGCTTACTGTAAAGGCTAGAGGAACCACCGTGTAGGACCGGTGCTAGAGGTGCTTACCCTGCCCCAAAGGCACCCAGGGCAAGGACGAGGAGGATGGGGAAATTGGCTGAACACCCTCACCAGACTAGTGGGCACGCTACGCCCACTCTCTGCTTATATGCTGCTGAATAATTCATGCTACTACCTGCACGGCTCAAATAGGGAACTTGGGGGAAGAGTTCATAAATCAGACATCAAGTACATGGCCAAGTAGACACTGTGTTCACCGTCACTAGACCTCCATTCCTAATAGCAGAGAACCAGCTCTGTGGGAAAGGACTTCAGACCTCCACACACTCTCAAGACCTCTTACTGCAAAACAGTAAAGTCTATTCCCACTAATTTAGCATTCAAAAGAGAATGCGGAGGGGTGGTCTTAAAGTCTGAGAGACCTGCTCCACTGGCTCACTCAGTAGTGAGTTTCAGGACTGAGCTCAGCATGAGGTCTCCAGGCACTGTCCCAGCAGCTCCCACCCCCAATCTGGGAACACAGCAATGATTTGGTGCTCAAAGATGTTTGGTGCTATCTTAAGACCCATAACATCCTTCGCTAATGGCTACCATGCCCTGGGGACTATGCTAAACATTTTAAATTGTATCTCGTGCAATTAAAAACAAAAAAACATGAAAAGGCTTATTACTGACTGACAGAGAGGGGCAACACACTTCCCTGGAACCTTTATCACCTGTATCCCCTCCAGCCTTTTCTCTGGAAGGAAATGGTGCGAGGGCATAAACATAGAAAATAAGCCTTATTGTTTAAATGTTATTCATTCATTCATTTTAGTGTGCCTGTGTGTGTATCCAGGAGCTAGAGTTAAGGTTGTTGGGAGCCACCCTATAGGTGGCGGGAACTGAACCTGGGTCCTCTGCAAGAGCAACAAGTGTCCTTAATTGCTCCCCAGCCCATCAAAATATACTTTCCAAATTGAGCTGTGTTGAGGAGACAATTTCTTAGCTTTTGGAATTCCACTGTAAGTAATAAGAAGAGCCTGGCGGGGTGTGGATGGGATATAAGGAGGGAAATAGGCAGCATGAAAGATGTATACAGATAGATGTATATAGATACAGAGAGACTGTGATGGTCAGAAATGGAAAGCCAATCTGCCAGGACAGAAAGCATCTCAAGGAAAAGAGTAAGAAATGTCTGGTCGCATCCTCTATATATGCGTGGTGCACTATAAACAGGTGTAAATTTTCTTCCTATAAAGGACTGTGTTCAGATACTGTTGCCAAAGATTTAAACCAAGAGTATCCATTTTACAGACATGGAAACTGAGGCTTGGGGAGCTAGTAATTTATTTAATCACTCCCTTATGGAAGTAGCAAGACCAAATCTGATTCCAATTCCTTTTGTTGTTGTTGTTGTTCCTGTTATGAATAGAATGTCTAAATCTAAAATGAGTGAGCTATAGATGATGAAGTAAAGTTAAAAAGAAAAGCAAGAAAGAGGAAATTATAGAAAATTTGTAGCTGTTAAGCGCCTACAGATTCTTGACCCTTTTAGATATATTTAGCAGATATCCTGAGACATATCACTACTAGTCAAAATCTAGGATAAATATAAAGCTTGGTTTGGAAAGACAGAGAAGTCCTTGGAATAGCCTGATACAAATATGTGAAAGTTTGCAGAGTGCATATGAGATACTGTGGTTCATATGTTAGAAGTGGGTGGCTGCCTTGGCTAAATGTATAAATGACGGAGGAAGTGTTTCAGAAAGTGTGCTTAGCCATCATGGAAGTTGACAGTTTAGGACCAGGTCTTATTTCACCTGCAATCTGGAGAGTTAGAGCAAGCAATTCAGATTCTGTCATCTGCTGACCCGTTGGTTAACTGTGTGAGACACAGCAGAAAACACGTAGACACTGCTCTCGATGCACTTGGGATCCTGAGCCAGATTTCATGACCACCAAAGAATCATTCGGTATTGACTATGAAAACGTTGGTAAATCAGGGGTGTTCTCTGCTTTATGCATAAGTGTAAGGGAAGGAGATTAATAGACAATTAAGACACTGATAACCAGGTGAGAGCTCCCTACTAAGCCAGTAACTCGATCTCATAACATTTTAACTGAGTAACTGGATGCCCTTTGGATTATCTGGAGTTTTTCCCCAACCTCATAACTGTTTTCCAAAGAGTCCCTGGCCTTTTACCAAAGTGAGTCAGAACACTCAGGTAGGATGCAATTTCGTGTGTGTGTGTGTGTGTGTGTGTGTGTGTGTGTGTGTGTGTGTGTGTACATATGTATGTCTGTATGTATGGGAGGTAGTGGCCCCAATCCAATTAGATGGACTATTCCTCAAATTTCTTGGCTTCTTGAAAGTTTTAGAATTGCGGTGTCTTCTGGTTTGTTTTAAATGTTAAATTCATTTCGACTGCCGAATTAATGAGCATCATTAACCTGATGCTGGCATCTCCTGCATTCCTCTACTTCATTATGAACTGTGCATATTAAAATGACCTCTCTCTATGTTTTTCTTTCCCAATAGACTCTAAACTACTTGAGTAGGTACCTTGTCTTGGTCATATCGACATCATTATCATCTGGTCCCTGCCAGCCCATTAAAGATTATTAATTGGTATTGTTCAGAAAAGAGGTGATGCTGTATGACATTATGTGAATAAATCCTTGAATCAAATTATCTAAGGTCAGATCCTAATCCCACCTCTGCAGGAGCTTGGACATGACAGGATGCCTCAGTTTCCTTTGCTGGAGAACAGGGACATGCAAATACAAAATGCTTATAACAATCTACTGAACTCTTTCCAAGTCATTATTGGTCCCTGTGTGTTAGCTGACATTATTGTTAGCTTTTGTCAAGTTGGAAGACTGTGCAGATCTATCCTGGCTATAAGGTAACTCATTCCAAAGCAGGTTGTGTAGTCTTTAGACCAGACATTGAATAGGAACAACTGCCTGTCCCTCATGCACTCGCTGACTTTCTAGCTCCTGCGCAAACAGATACAGAGAAGGATGGGGAGGTCTTATAGAGGTTACGCATGGTTGTTGAAGATTCAAGTCTCGAATCAGTTGGAGTGACCTGGAGACCTCTATTTGAGCTAGATCTGGGATGCAGCCTCACCTTGTGGAACTGTGGGGGGTAGATTCTTGCAGCCCCGTAGTTGAGCAGCAGCTGGTAGCAGATCTCAGGCCGTGCAGAAGGGCGCACAGATGTGACCTTCAGCACGTATTGGATGGCTGCACAGCCGTTGATATCCATGAGGTTGGCCTCGGCTCCCGCCTCCAGCATCATGTGCATGAGCACGTGGTCGCAATTCCAGGCAGCTTTGTGCAGAGGGGACTTGAAGTCGTCATCGCGGGCGTTGACCTCAGCATTGTTGTCTAGCAGCATGCGACAGATGAGGTGGTGTTCCCTGCTGTACTCCTGCTCCTTGTAGCGCAGGGCCCAGTATGTGGCAATGGCCAGCGGGGTCTCCATGTGGGCATTCATGCTGTCCACGATGGCCCCGTTCTCCACATAGAAGGCAGCCAGCTCAGAGAGACCGAAGTGGGCAGCCGTATGCAGGGGCGTCTCCTCATCCTGGTTGTTGGTTTTCATGTTCACATTTGCACCTGTGAAGGGATATGGAAGCAGACTGTTTAAACGCTGTGTCTGTCTGTGTTTCTCTCGTGTGTGTGACCAACACTCTTTCTCACGATTCGATTTAACTTCTGCTTGCCATGCTGGACTCCTTCCCAGCCATAAAGAGCTATTCCTGGCCTTAGTGTAAGTAACTCCTTAAGCCAACACTGCTGTCTTCCCGAGTACCAACAAATGTATCCCGGAAAAGGAGCTAACATTCTTCCCCAAATCCTCAAGCACTGCTGGACTCCAGCTCTTCATGGCCAGGTGGATTTGGAAGTAAGTGATGTATATAACAAAATATTTTATACCACTAAGATGCCAAACACTGTTAAAGTATAATATTTTGGATTTTTTAAGTTCAAGGTTGGCAATAGGTAAAGGACCTTGCCACCAAATTCTGACTACTTGAGTTGGATATCTGAGATCCACATGGTGGGTCCAACTTCCACAAATGGTCCTGTGAGTTCCATGCACATATTCATATACACACAAATAATAATAGATAAATAAATATGTTTTAAATGTAAAAAGGGCTATATTTTAAAAATTTGTATCTCATGCCACAGACTTAAAATTTTGTGGGGTTCTTAATTTAAATTTTTGCTTATCAATATGTGTGTGCTCGCTTGTCTCTATATGCATCATATGCATGCAGAAGCCCCTTAAATTGGAGTTACATGTGGTTGTGAGCCTTCCAATGTGGTTCTGAACCCATGTCCTCTGCAAAAGCAACAAGTGTCCTTAACCACTAAGCCATCTCTCCAATCCCTAAAACATATTTTAAGTGTTTTACAAAATAGTGTCAATAGTGTCTTTCATCCCTTTCAAAGCAGATGGATCTAAAGTTTTGTGCAAACAGACTATGGTGACCTAAAAATTTCCCAGTTCTTGGGCTGAGGTCAAGGCATCATGAGAGCTATGCCTTTGGAATACAATGAACACACACATTCTCTCTCTCTCTCTCTCTCTCTCTCTCTCTCACACACACACACACACACACACACACACACACACAAAACCAGCATTATAGAAACAGTCACTGAAAGAAAGAAACATAGACTGTGGTTGACAAACACATTTGTAGGCAACTTGTTGTGCATGGACTGTGCCTTAGAAATGATTTCATGCAACCCACTTACTTATCAACCAAGAAACCAGTTTGATTTTTTCCCTGATAGGAAATGTTAAACTTTAGAATAATTATCCTGAGATAATTGCCTAATTTAAAGGGGTGTACCAAATGACCCCTAAGGGCTTCTAGTATGATAAATAATTCTACTAGAAATTTTCATAGGTACCTCAAATATAAGTCTAAAAAAGACTGATGTTGTTGTTATTATTACTGTTGGTAGTTGTAGTGTTATTGCCATAACTAAAATTAATTTGGAATTGAACCACGTACAGTATTGTAACCTAAGTGCATTTTGTACATTGCCTCATGGAATTTTCCCAGTAACTCAGCAGTAGATGCAATTTTTACCCTAATTTTACAGTTGGAGAAGCCATCCTTGGGTTTTTGAATAAAATACACCAAGCTAGTGCGCTTGCAAGCAGAATTCGCAAGCAGATAGGCTGGCTTGGAAAAAAATCCCTTATTATAATTCTGTCCTATCTCATTATTATTTTTCTGTAGGAAATTTCATATTGTTTGCTGTATGAAAACCTGATTACTAGAAATGCCATTGCATTTCATAAATTTAAAAATGGCTTTCCCACATGGATAGCTTCTTCTTGGCTTAATTTACAGCATCCCCTGATTATTAAGAACGTATTTAAGAAAGGAATTCTCACACTAGTAGGCTCAGTGTCTGGTTAAGGAATCCAGTGGGGTTTCTCCAAGTGTGTGGCTTGGCAGACAATGGGCTCTCCTCGCTTGCAGGAGGCAGAACCGTAATCAAAGCCATCTTCCACTGGGTTATCAGTGTTCTGACCTGTAAGGGTTCTGGGTGAGGTCTTCTTTCTAGTCAGGTATCTGCTCTTGAGTGAAATGGAATAAGTACAAATGTCTTCCCCGAAGGAAGCCGTGTGCAGGGTCACTTCAGCTGCTGGGAATCTTCCAGTAAGAATGAGAATCAAAGATTCAGGATGAAATTTTTACAGGTCAGCTTAGGGTGAACACTGCCTTTGAGTTTTAATGGACTTGGATGTTTACTCTTGATCCTTGACTTCTTGGGATAACTGGATTCAAGGTAGAATTGCCTTTTCTGAGCTGGAACTTCTCATTTTTATACTTGAATTGTGTCTCTGGCAAGAACTTTCCAAAAGAATATACAATGTTTTTTATTTTAGATTCTTTTGATTTCTCCAAGAAATTAAAGCCCAGAAGCACAACATTGTGGAACTTTTATAGCTACTTTTTAAAAGGACCTTATTACTGCAGACACTGTTGTCACATTTCCATTGCATGTTCCTAAACAAGCTCTCCTTTCCCTGCACAAATGTCTTTATTTCTTGGAGAGTTTCCGGAGACAAGGGGGGTGTTGAAACAGGGCATGGCCCAAGCCAGTTCTTCCCAACCCCCAAAGACATGTTTTCTTCCCCCATTCTGCAGTGACATGTGTGAATAAAATAATCTTCCTTTACTCATATTGTTTGAAAACAAATACAGTGTCCTAGTTGACACAGACAAACCAAAAAAAATGCGCTTACAAGCAATATAAGTTACAGTGATATAGTATGAAATTAAGTATGCTACTATTTGGGAAAGGCTATCCTGAATAATGTAAAAGGATTGATGAGAGTATTTTCTATGGCCTAATGAATGGCACTCTCAAAGGAAAAACACCTTGGGAAAGTTCTGAACACACAAAACCAATATCACCCTGATTTTTTTTTTTTTGGTGTTTTTTGAGACAGGGTTTCTCTGTATTGTTTTAGAGGCTGTCCTAGAACTCGCTCTGTAAACCAGGCTGGCCTCGAACTCACAGAGATCTGCCTGCCTCTGCCTCCCGAGTGCTGGGATTAAAGGTGTGCGCCACCAACGCCCGGCTCTCACCCTGATTTTTATTATAATTGCATTCTCAGAAATGCCCATATTATTCTAAAATTTCAAAGTGCTTTGTGCTTATATGTAAAATTGAGTTAGCTTAGATCTCTATTATGTTACTACATCCAAATATCTATTACTACAGTAGCATTAAATCTTAGAGTTTTCTAAATATACAATATTCAAGTTTATAAAAATAATTAAAAAGTGATGGAACACTCAGATGGCATATCTGTGTGTGAAAGGTATTAGTTTTTGTACTATATACTTCTAAAGCAGAATTTTACAGAAACCCTCAACTCAGCTCTCTTCTCCTATTCTTTGTTTACAGAGACAGTACCCATTCTGATGTTGGTGTTTGTTGAATCATTTCTGATTATTGCCTTTGATTGAATGATGAGTGATCTACAGTTATTTTAATTTATTTCTTCAAGCTTACATGTTTTCACCGTTCAGGCTTGAAGTAGCCAAGAGGGTAGACCTGAGGAAGTCAGAATCATTAAGGTAGTCAAGGAAGACCCGAGGAAGTCCTCAGAAACACCCTATCTCCTCCTCCCTTTCTGTATCATATGTATCATATATGATCTAGTTATTGTTATGCATGCCCAATAAAATTTTTAAGTGGGATAAATCTGTTATATTTCCTAAGAAGTCAAGAACCTGTGGATATTTATCTGTTGGCATCATGTATTAAAGACAGCAATTAAAGCTGAGCCTTGTGGCTCAGCCTGTAATACTAACTACACTGAGGCTGAGGCAGGAGGATTACAAGATCAAGGTTGGCTTGAGCAACAGAGTGAATTCAAGGCCAGAATGGGCAACCCAGACCTTAATGTAAAAATAAATAAATAAAGTAAAAAGATTTACTAGCACAAGGTCATCATTTCAGTTCCATTGAGGAGGGCATTTCTTAAGGTTTTTTTTATTTTGAATATTATGGAGAAATGGAAGTCTACCAACTTTTGTTCCTTATCAAATAACCTACTTTTTACTTATTCAGTTGTTTGGTGATTTATTATTTTTATTTTTGAAACTTCATATACTATAAAGATGTGCCTACATTTAGAATTTTCATTAAATTTGCTAAGAACAAAAATTGCCCACTGTATCCCCAAACAAATTCATATTTTATTCTATCTTTATGAAATAATGGTCACAGTTTTAGATGAAATATATTCTTATATATTGAAAACTATAAAACCTTCCTTTAGAAAAAAAGTTCTTATTTTTGTTCTGTGTAGCTTGACTTAAACTGGGACATATTGGGAGAGAGAAACTCAGTTAAGAAAATACACCCACCAGATAGACTGGCCCGTGGGAGAGCCTGCGGTGCACTTTCTTGGTTGATCTGGGTGAGCCCGCCCACTGTGGGAAGTGCCACCATGCCATTTTTTCTGGATAGAAAACAAATGGAGTAAACCATAGGACAAAGTCAGGACGATGCTCTCCTTCATGGCCTCTGTATCAGCTCCTGCCTCCAGGCTCCCGCCTGACTTCCCTAGTGGTGGAGTAGAACCTGAGGTTTGTAAGGTGAGACGAGGACTCTCCTTCTCAAGTTGCTTTTGGTTATGGTGTTTTACCCCAGCAATATAAACTCTAACTAAAATGCTGCCTACTCATTATCGAGATACCGTCATTGATAAGAAATCCCTAATCACTTTTCTTTAGTCACATTCCTCAAATATCCAAATGAAAACAAGGCAATTTGTCATGACCTAGTGTTTTCGCATCATCATGGAAAACTGTGGTTTTATTTAAGAAAAGGGAACTAGGATGAAACATTTATGTCTCATAGGTTAAGGTAACCTGTGAGAATGCAAAGGAAATACTAAAGCAGACAGGTAGGAAAGATCTCAAGAAGAAATTAACTGAATTTACTAACTTCACAAAGTTTAGTTCTCATTCAGCTGTGTTTCCTGGGGTTGCCTCATATTGGTTCCTTTCCATTTAGTCTCACTGGCTTGAACCACACCTGCCTCAATTTGAAGAATGGGGTAAACT